TTGGTGACACCTCCACCACATCATCATCAGTCTCCTCGTTCTCTCCCCCTCCGTTTTCGGCTTCCTTTTCCACTTGTGATGGAACCTCCACCGCTTCATCCTCCTCTCGTGCGGGAAGGACGACGGTGAGTGGTGGCGTTGGTTGTTCCTTCGTCGGGAACTTGTCTTCGTCGAAGACCACATCCCGAGACGTGACGACGTGCTTGTCGCCCAAGTCCCACACTCGCCGCGCACGCTCGTTCGCCGCAATTCCCAAGTAGAGAGCCGCACGAGCCTTCGGTTGCAACTTGTGGCGAAGGGGATCCGGTACATGGTAGTAGCAAAGGCACCCAAAGGTGCGTAGGCGTGATAGGTTCGGCTTCGTTCCGCTCCATGCTTCGAACGGAGTCGTTCCCGGGAGCACCTTCGTCGGCAAACGGTTGCGAATCCACGCCGCTAGCGAACTCGCCTCACCCCACCACTCGCTCCCAAGCTTGGAGTGTTGAAGAAGTGAACGAACGGCTTCCACCAACGTGCGATTAAGCCGCTCCGCCGCTCCATTTTGTTGGGGTGTGTAGGGTGTCGTGACGTCGTGCTTTATGCCCTTGCTCTTCATCCATTTCTCAAGCTCCGCGTTCACGAATTCGCCCCCACCGTCGGTGCGAATACACTTGATCCGCTTCTTGTCGTCGTCGCAAACTTCGAGCGCCCACTCTTGAATCGCCTTGGCCGCATCTCCCTTAGCCTTCAAGAGCCGGGTCCAACACATCCGCGTCGCGTCGTCGAGCATCACCAAGAGGAACCGCGCTCCTCCCTTTGATGCATGTCGCATCGGTCCACACACGTCCATGTGAACAAGCGCAAGCGGGTCCTTAGCGAGGGGTGACGTCCGGCTACCGAATGGCTTGCGAGCCATTTTTCCTTCGACACACGCCTCGCACACGCCCTTCTCGTCGTCGCCGGCGATCACGTCGACTCCCTTCGCAAGTCCCTTGTTGGCCAACTCCTTGACCGAGTCGTAGTTGGCGTGCGCAAGCCGATTATGCCACGCCTTGAGAGTTGCCTTGGACCCTTGCGCCACGTTGGATGAAGCCGCTCTCGTGTGCGTCTTGAGTTGGTAGAGTTCTCCGTTGAGAACGCCTTGTGCGTCATGTGTTGTGTTGCGCCGGTGTCGAGGAACCACGCGTCGCTTGGTGTGTTGTGCCCGTCACCGGCCAATAACACGATCGACTCCCTCGTATCATCCGCCTCGCCGGATGCCGTGTGCGCGTTGCCCTCGTGGTTCCGCGCCTTCGATGGAGTCCAATCGCTCGGCCGCTTCCGACACTCACGCCAAAAGTGTCCCGCTTTGCCACAATAGTGGCACTTGCTCGCGCCGTTCGATGCGTTTCCCTTGCCGCGATCGCTTCCTCTGGGCTACTTCTTCGTCGCGCCCTTGCTCCACGTGGACTTCTTTCCGGAACTCCCTCCGGAGAACATGGCGGCACCCTCGCTCTCATTAGCGAATTGTCGGCGACGTGATTTTTCATGGAGAAGCCGACCAACCACCATTTCCTTCGTCCACGTGTCTTGCACGCTATCGAGTGTCGTAATCACCGTCGACCACTCTTCCGGAAGGCCGCAAAGCAAGGTCAAAATCCAATCCTCCTCCGTGACCGTTCCACCGAGGTCCATGAACGTTTCCCCGAGTTCCTCCACACGAGTCGCATACTCGTGCATCGATTCGCCCGCGCGCATCTTCACCGTGTAGAATGCATTCCGGGCTAGGATTTTGCCGTGGAGAGTCTTGTTCACGTGGATGGTCTCGAGCCGCTTCCACGCTTCATGCGCCGACGCTTCGAGCTTGATGCACATGCGCACCGAGCTCACGAGATTGATGCCGATGCGCGAAATCAACGTAGCGAACGCCTTTTAGTCCTTCTTCTTCCATGCCGCGATGCCGCTCTCGTCGTCCGGCTTCTTCTCCGTTCCATCGAAGAAACCCCAAAGTCCCCGCTCCATAACCACTGTTGTAAAGGACTCTCCTCTACTTTGCAGGAACTGGGAGTTGTTCTAAGCAGTAGAGCACTCTGCTAGCTTTCCAACGAGCCGTAGATCACCTCGATCGCGTAAGTATCGAGCGAGATATCGCCGTTTATGTGCTAGGTAGTACTCTTAGATTGAAGGATAGGAACTCTCTGGTTTTGTACTTCGAATTCACCTTGTACAAAGTGATCCTCGATTTCAGTATGAAACATGCAATACAAAGCAAACAGATTTATAGCATGCAACAAACATCGAGTCGCACAAGTAACCTCGAACCGCTACACTCTCGAAAGTTCGAGTAACATTTCGAAGGGGTGAAATTCGACTCTCGAATTTCACCGAATCGAATTCTTCCTGAGTCTCGATTCTTCTTGTGCTGCCATGTGGCACCAAAGTGCAGGTTCTTCCGAAGTCAATCCCAACTTCTTGGAACCTGCAACACATTCATGAAACTTCAGACTTGCAGCTCACTCAACCTTGAGTTGCATTCGGTGGTTGGGGGCAAACCTCCCCCCCCACGCAACCTCCAACAGTACGGGCCGCGCGTGGGCAACGGGCAGGGCGCACGGGCGCCGCGACGGGCTGGGGCAGAGCCTACGGGCGTCGCGACGGGCTGGGGCAGAGCCTACGGGCGTCGCGACGGGCTGGGGCAGAGCCTACGGGCGTCGCGACGGGCTGGGGCAGAGCCTACGGGCGTCGCGACGGGCTGGGGCAGAGCCTACGGGCGTCGCGACGGGCTGGGGCAGAGCCTACGGGCGTCGCGACGGGCTGGGGCAGAGCCTACGGGCGTCGCGACGGGCTGGGGCAGAGCCTACGGGCGTCGCGACGGGCTGGGGCAGAGCCTACGGGCGTCGCGACGGGCTGGGGCAGAGCCTACGGGCGTCGCGACGGGCTGGGGCAGAGCCTACGGGCGTCGCGACGGGCTGAGGCAGAGCCTACGGGCGTCGCGACGGGCTGGGGCAGAGCCTACGGGCGTCGCGCGGGCTAGGGGCAGGGCGCGGGCTAGGCGCGGAGGGTGGAGTGGCGCGGTTTAGGCGCGGAGGCACAATGGGTGCGGAGGTGCGAGCTAAGCGCGGAGGGCGCGGAGGGCGCGAGCTAGGCGCGGAGGGCGCGGAGGGTGAACACTAGGCTAGGAACGGGCTAGGAACGGTCCTGCTCGTGATACCATCTCAAGAGTGGTTAGCAACGGAATGATTGGAATAGAAACGAATGGGGTACAAATAAGCAACCCTAGAAACTGTACCCCCTAGAGTGCAACTCACTATAGCCTATCATATCAATGTTCAACATTTGACACGTACATCCATATGTCAACGCCCAAGCCAATCAAAACATCAGTTTCATCTTGCTAAGTTACATTGACCTAGGTTTTCTGGAAAATGATGGACGCTTGACCAGCTGAGAGAAGAGCAGGAGGATGTATTCCTGACTGGTTTGTTTGTTTTTTTTTTTGTTTTTTTTTTTTTCATACCAACATATTACATGCAGCAGTGTCGAAGTACAGAAGCAGATGATGCATGATAAAAGCTCCAACACCCTGGAAGTTGGTTGGAGATGGAAAGAGGATAGAGAGAAAAGGAGAGAGAGAGATAAAAGGGAAGGGAAAAGGAAATGGAAATGGATAAGCCCCACAAGCACAACCAAGAGGGAACCCCATCAAGACACCCCATCGAAGCACCCTAACTAAACCCCCCCCCGACTCCCCCCCCCCCCCCCCCCCAACGCCCCTCAAACTGGGGCGGACACCAAGTACTGAGCCTCCACCCACAGTGCTCCCCCCATCTCCTCAATGTCCTCCCCCTCCCTGTCCACCAAATCGATATCTGCTCCTCCCATAGACGATGCAGCGCGAAGCAGGATGACCCGAGCCTGCGCACGCTGCAAGGCCACCCCAATCATAGCCTTCAAGGATCCCATGAGATAAGAGGAAAATGACTGATCATCCTCCCGACATGCCCCCCTCAAAACGGCAAGCCCGAAATGTGCGTCCCCCTGCTGCCGCAGCCAACGCCGAAAACGTCCACCTAGACATCCCCACGTCTCAACAATCAGGGGGGTGAACTGCACTCCCCTCTTGCGCGCCAACAGCGGCGCGTAATCCCCAGTCTTCGTGCGCTCCCACTCCCTGGCCGCCACTCCTATGGACCGCCCACACTGCCCAACCAAGGATGGAGACTGGTTTCTGATGTGTGGGTGGGGTGGGGTGGGGTGGGGGATGGGAACCAAACGTTTTTTGGTCTGGTTGTGGACGAATTTCTGGAGGGTGATGATGGATCTAGCTTGTGAAAATATTTGTATGCCAGCACTTTCCACTGGCAGGCTGGGGCTCGCAAGCGATAAACCTTTGCCCAACCAAGACGAATGTGAACCCTTGCTTCAAAATAAATGCCACGTGGATCTGCTTGTGCCTTCGCGACCAGCCAACCAGCAGCCCCACTCCTACCAAGTCGTTTTGATGGCAGGCTACGTGTCACGTATCTGGTCGGATCACTGAACAACAATCGCAGAGCTGACTCTTTGATTCCGTCAACACACGCCTGCACCCACTCAGCCTTCCAGTCACTTCGCGTGGGTTCACCAAGTGGCCAATCAGCTCGCTTCGATCACATGAATCGGGCGATGGGGCTCGCCTGGGAGCGATTCCATCTCAGATCCAACGGTTCTTCTCGACTCAGTTCAGCAAAGTGCCGAGAATGATCGAGATTTTGAGACACCCAAGCTATCTCACTTCTCGTATGTCGGCATTCCTGCCTCTTTTCACCAACCATGTGGCAGTATTCTCTGATAAGAGGGTGATACACACCTGCTTCATTTATTCACATTTGCTTGGATTTTTTAATTAGTTTGCCACATATCAGTGCATTATACATACCTGCTTCATTATATTTTGCTTGAAATTTCCAAGGCGTATCTCCCAGTAGGCACTCTTTCGAACATCTAGGGGTAATAGCAGGACTTTTGATTCTTTCAGCTAGTGACTGGGCTCCGTGACGAAAATGGCGGCCACGAGTGTCGCATCACGCACCTCCATGTTTCTGTCTCCTGCTCAGACCAGCCTGAAGGCTCAAGCTGCAGGCCTGCAGGACTGGACTGACGGATCCTTGAGAAGTGTTTCTCTCCGCAAGAACAGCGTCGCTGTCACTAAAGCTCAGACTGTCCAGAAGAAGGCTAGTAGAGGACCCCTGGTGGTGAAGGCAGTGGTTCCTAAGAATCTGGTGGATGTTAGCACCATTGATGAGCAGAAGTTCGAGGCATTGGTGCTGCGACGGGTGGTGTTCGGTCATGATGACTGGAAGGTGCGGTACCTTCCCTTCACGTCCACTGACGAACCGTGTATACGTCGTCATTTCATGTTTCCTTCTAGCATCTGGCAGAGGAAAACTTTTCTTAGCCTAAATCTTTTTCAATCCCGTGAACACCTTGCTGTTTTCAGAAACACAAATCAAGCGGCCGGTACTTCCGTCACATGAAGACCATGTTTACGTCTAAGGTTATCGGCGCGCTCGGACCCGCGGTTTCCGTGATGACTGGAATCGCAGCCGGTGTGGTGGGGTGGAATGAGCTGGTCACGATGGGTGCATTGCCCGAGTGGGTCCCCGTGCTACACATGTCCAACCTCCCGTACACCCTCACCGCACCTGCTCTCGCCTTCCTTCTCGTCTTCCGGACCAATGCCAGCTATGGCCGTTTCGACGAGGTATGTTTGAAAGATCAGCCGCCATTTTCGTTACAGTAGCCTGCTATCGCGTGACGATGTGTGAGAATCGAAATCCGGAGAGTCTTTTGTTGGATTGGTTATGTGCCGACTTCAAACTCTGACACTAACGCGTCACGTCGATTCGTTCAATTCATCCCGCAGGCTCGCAAGATGTGGGGGCTCATGCTGAATCGCACGCGCGACATCACGCGACAGGCGCTGTCGTACATGGCTCGCGACCAGTACACGTACGAGTACCCCAAGCGCGCTCAATTCATCCGCCACCTGCAGGCGTTCGCCCTCACCTACAAGCACCACTTCCTGCAAGAAGGCTCTCTGGAGGAAGACCTTCGTGTGAGTAGCACCCGTCTGACTTATTGTCGCTTTTCGTTAGCACAAGAACTAGTTTGCAATAAAATTCACTGGACTGGTATTTGTATGCGGTGTAACGTGTTTGACGCCGGTTCTGTGCATTCTACACGTTCCTTGCAGCAATTCACCACTCTGTCCGACGGGGAGATCGCAGGGATACTGGGGGCGACCCACCGGCCCAACTACGTGCTTCAGATGATGTCGGAGTGCATGCGCTCGTGCCACATGGACCCAATGCACCGCGTGGCCATGGTGAGTTCCACATTCCGTCCCTTTCGTACTTTCAGAAAGAGAAGTTGTTTTTAGAAATCCGCAGAAATAAGCTCACGTTTGAAGTTCAACATACAGCAGGGGCTATGGTAGGAATAGCAGAACTGGAGAAGTTCACGGGCCTATCGAATATTCCTTCTAACGAGCTCCAGACTTCCATCAACAGATGCGCAGAAAGTTGCATGACCCCTTCCGTGCATTGAAGCTGCCTGACCACTGCGTCTCTGGTGGGCCATAACCGAATCTCTGGTTTCCTAAAGCAGGTAATCACTGAACCTATGGGCCGAAGCAGATAATTGGAAATCTCTGGTGGGCTGAATCGGTGTATGAGGAGCAGGAATTAGCTCCACTTTGCTCTTCCTTCCCTTGACGAGCCATCGCATCCCTGTTCTCATACTCCCTGCCTTTTCCAGGAGGCCAATTTCGCGACATTCGCGGATGACATCGGAGGCAGCGAGCGTCTCTTCAAGACGCCCATCCCGCTCTCCTACACGCGCCTCACCTCGCGCTTCCTCGTCCTCTACCACATGTTCCTGCCTTTCGCCCTCTGGGACCCCCTCGGCTGGCTCACCATCCCTGTGACTGCCACGTGTGCGGCCATCTTTTTCTGCATTGAGGAGGTCGGAGTGCTCATTGAGAACCCCTTCCCCATCCTGGCGCTCGACGTCATCGCTCAATCAGCACGGAACAATGCTGGTGTAAGTCTTCGTGCAATTTACCCCCTTACTGCCACTTGGCTCCACTTCTGAGTATTCTCATAGGTCGGAGTGCTCGTTGAGAACCCCTTCCCCATCCTGGCGCTCGACGTCATCGCTCAATCAGCACGGAACCATGCCGCTGTAAGTCCCCTTCCAGTGCATTCCACTACTTCAGTTATGCCACTTCGCTCGGCCATTTCGTCATCTGGCCTCCACGTTCCTGACACAGCTGTCCCCCACAACCCCTGAGACAAGCCCATCCTTCAATCCTGCCACTCTTGTCATCAATGTGGAACAGCATGAAGGGTCCACAATATGGGTTGTGGAATCTGACTTCCGTAGATGTAAATTTTACAGTTTTCAGTTCCTGCACAGTTGCCGAGGTATGTTCACTCTGGATGTTGAAGAGTGAGACCTTGACACGAAGCAGCTCTCACCAGTCCCTTAACCCCCCTGATTAATCTGCATGCGCATATTCTGATCTCACCCTCTCCTATTTGCAACCACAGGAACTGATCCCAGTCACGAGAAGCAGCTCTTAATCAGTCACATCCTGACCTTCTCCTCCCTTCTCCCTCATCAGGAGCTTGTATCACTGCATGAGGGCATCTGCAACCTAGTTGTAGAAGGCGATTTGGAGATGAAGCGCCTCTCAGCAGTCTCTCAAGAGGTGCTGCTGCATTGTGAATCGACTCAAAACCTCTCCCTCCCTGCCTAACCTCAACAGGAGCTCGTGTCGCTGCATGAGGGCATGCGCAACCTAGTGGTGGAGGACGATTTGGAGATGAAGATGCTGTCAGCAGTCTCCCAAGAAGCACTGCTGCCTCATGCGCCTCAGTACGTACCTGAGCCCGAACCCGAGTACCAGTCTGACTGGGATGAAGACGCAGCTGCTCTTGTCACCACCCCCACCCCGCCTCCTCCTACCCCCAATGGTCCCATTGCTGCTCGTGGCCCTTACAGCATGTGATGTGGTGTGAGGGTGTAGAGTCAATCCCTTGAGCCCTCCCAAAAGTGGAGAGTCTCAGGCTTCAAGAGTTTTTGGGAAATTTCAGTGACTGGAATGGTGGATTGAATAATGGGTTTGTAGATTGTTTTAGCAAAGTGAAGGCTGCTGCCTTGGGCTTACTGTATGCTAATGCTTTTTCGATTTCAGGTTGCCAACGGTGACGTATGGGGAACATTCTCCTCGTGCTTCTTTGAACTAGTGTGGGCTCCAAGATACATTCAAGTTCATTCCAATAACAAATATGGCAACTTCTGCCGGTAGTAACAAAGTGATCTGTCTGTAAGTGGTCCTTGTATCTAACTTAAACCAATACAGCTTTGTTTTTAATTTACTTAGTATGACGTATTCACAACGGAATCGCGGGTGAGCTTGCCTCACCGTCACTCAAGCTCGCTGCAGCAACGTTTAAGGCGCTAGAACGCCCTTCGTTTTCGTAGTTTGCCTCACCGTCACTCAAGCTCGCTGCAGCAACGTTTAAGGCGCTAGAACGCCCTTCGTTTTCGTAGTTTGCCTCACCGTCACTCAAGCTCGCTGCAGCAACGTTTAAGGCGCTAGAACGCCCTTCGTTTTCGTAGTTTGCCTCACCGTCACTCAAGCTCGCTGCAGCAACGTTTAAGGCGCTAGAACGCCCTTCGTTTTCGTAGTTTGCCTCACCGTCACTCAAGCTCGCTGCAGCAACGTTTAAGGAGCTAGAACGCCCTTCGTTTTCGTAGTTTGCCTCACCGTCACTCAAGCTCGCTGCAGCAACGTTTAAGGCGCTAGAACGCCCTTCGTTTTCGTAGTTTGCCTCACCGTCACTCAAGCTCGCTGCAGCAACGTTTAAGGCGCTAGAACGCCCTTCGTTTTCGTAGTTCGCCTTGCTGCTCGCTCGAGTAAAGCAACAGAACTCACTACTCACCGCTAAGGAGCGAAAACAGCGACCTTGCACCTTCTTTTGTACTGTAAATACGCGCCGCGACTTGCACGCATACACTAAAACTGCGAGAAACCCTACGCGCGACTACCCTGACAGTGCTACGGACGAAATTCGAATCGTGCTACTACTCTGACAGTGCTTCTCCACGTCGGCACCTCCCTTAGCTCACTCGACAGACTCACTAGCGTCCGACGCGGAGAGGAGTTCCTTCGGCGACGGCGTGGTTTTTGCTAGTAATCGAGCACTGGGGGACAGCACGACGCCTGCCTACACCTGTTTCTACCCCCAACGACGACTGGCACCTTCGCGAATTTCCCCACCCTCCCAACCTGCACCTTCCACATACGACTCCACTTCCACGTGTTTCAATTTGCGCAAGCACCAGCACGTTGCACCTTGGCAGCAGCACGATCGGCCCCAACTACCCACGAAAACCTCTTCTGCACTGCATGATATCTCGTTGCTGCATCCGCGCTACTACCTCTCCCAAAACGCGAATTTGACACACTTGTTAAACCGCTAACTGCACAACATATGAATCTTTCTAATCCACTTCATAAAGTCCTTACAGAAACCTTAGCCTCCTCCTCCCAAGAGCACGCTTCTCGCCAACCTGAACCTGCAGCTGCGCAAACTTCACAACCTCCTCCTTCTGCTCCTCCTCCTGCTTCGACATCTGCTCCGCATCCTGTTGCAGCCTCTTCTTCTTCTCCTTTGCCCACTTCGGTCCCGACCCCAACATATTACTGCAAAACCTGTAATCGTAACTTTGCCAGCTCGGGTGGTCTTACTCGCCACCTCTCTGCTTGTTCCCGCAACAACACAACGCGTCAGCAATCAGTCCGCCCTCCTCCTCCTCGTGCCACTACTACTCCCTCCTCCTCTACAGCACCCCCACCGATATCTCAACAGACTTGGGACGCTGTCGTAACCTGGGACTGGGGGACGTTCTTCAGTCCCACTGTCACCCCAGGCACACTGTTGCGTCGGATTCCGCCGCGAGCTCGCCTGCTGGTCTTGGATGCTTTACTCATACCACTTCGCCGCCTTGCCATCTTCCCGCAAGATCCTGCTGCTCATTTCCTCCTCCTTGCTTTCCCCCGTCTGGTGCTTCGCTCTTCCATTTCTCCTGCCTCACAATCAGCCACAGCAGCATGTGCAGCCTTTGCACGTCGTTTCATTCAAGGCGACTGGCTTTCTCTCTTCAACGAAGCTGTCGCTGCTGCCGTTCCAGCGTCTCGACCGCACAGTGTCTCATCCGCCCGGTCCACAGCCACGTTCGCCCGACTGAACCGAGCCAAACGATTCGCGCATTGCGGGGACTGGTCGCGTTCCCTTGCCGCTTTAGAAGCTGGCGAGCTTGCCCCACAGACCCCTGAAACTGTTACTGCGCTTAAGGCCAAGCACCCTCCTGCTACCGAAGAACTTCCAGACTGGCTGCCCGACTTCTCGCCTTCGGAAGTGCCTCAGCTCACCATTCCACTTCTTCATCAGGCCTTGCGTTCAGCCCCACGAGGCACAGCTGCTGGCCCTTCGGGGTGGCTTATCGAGCATCTTCGCGACACCTTCCTCTCGTACCAGACTCATCTGCCGCATCTTCTCCGCCTGTTCCAGAATTGGCTGCAAGGCGACCTCCCGCAAACAGTTCGACCTTACTTCACCGCATCCAATCTTGTTGCCCTCCAGAAGCCGCATGGAGGGGTCCGCCCCATCGCCATCGGCGAGATACTGCCGCGCCTGCTGTCCCGTTGCGTTACTCTTCACTTCAAGCAGCAGATCCGGGACTTCTTCCTTCCCTCCCTACAATTTGGGGTCGCCGTCTCCGCAGGGATCGAGGTTATGGCCCATGCAGTCCAGTCGGCCCTCTCCCTCCACCCAGAGTGGGTTGTGCTGGAACTGGATGTTGCCAACGCCTTCAACTCCTTCAGCCGTTCCGCTATGTTCAACGCCCTGCGAGACTCCCCGTTCTCCAGCCTCATCCCTTTCTTCCGCCTCTTCTATGCCTCCCCCTCTTCTCTCCATTACCGCAGCGGCCCATTAATCGAGACACTGCAGTCATCATCGGGTGTTCGACAGGGTGACCCATGCGGGCCATTCTTGTTCGCCCTCACCCAGCACCTAGCCATTCGCCCCATCCAGCGTCAATCTCCAGCTCTTTTCATCACCTCCTACGCAGACGACACGTACATGGTCGGTCCTGCGCATGACGTGTTTCCTGCCTACACAGCGCTTACAGGCCGTCTCAATGACCTGGGCCTGAGGGTGCAACCATCAAAATGCTCCCTCTGGGCCCCTTTGGACCTCCCTTCGGACCTCACACCTCCATCAGACATCATCATTGCCCCTAACGGTCTCACGGTTGCAGGAGTGCCTATCGGATCGGACACCCACATTATCTCCACAGTTCGAGACAAACTGCACTCTTTCTCTTCATCACTGCCTCTCCTGCATGACCTTCATGATCCACAGACTGCCTCTCGCCTCCTTACTCTCTGCATTTCCGCCCGTCCCTCATTCCTCCTCCGCACAGTTGCACCATTTCCCGAGGTAGAAGAGCTTTACACTGACTGGGACAACACCTTGCTGGACCACTTTGTTCGCCTCATCGGCTCTGACTACTGGCCTCCTGCGTTTGACCACACTGCCACAGCACACCGACAGCCATTCCTTCCCATTCGCCTTGGTGGGTTCGGCCTCCGTTCTTCAGCTGCAACTGCTTCTCTCAGTTACCTGTGCAGCTGGGCACAGACAGTTTCACTCCTCTCGTCATGCTTCACCATTCATGGCTCCCCTATTTTCCGTCCCTTCATCGCTTCAGACACCATGGACCGCCTTGACCCATGCATTCCCACAGCCATGTCCAAACTTCATCCTACCATTCGGCAGCACTTCCCTACCTGGCCCGCACTTCACGCTGGCTATCCACAGAAGCTATATTCCTACCTTTCACAGCACTTGGAGGCTGTCATGCTCGAGCGCGTGCGATCCACAGTAACCTCTCCCCAACATTTGGCCCGTTTAACCTCCCTACAAGGGCCCCATGCTGGCGATTGGCTTACTGTGGCTCCATGTTCTTCGCATATGCAGCTGTCACCTACGGAGTGGTGTATTGCAGCCGCTATTCGTCTTGGCCTCCCCATTCCACACCTCACGACCACCCGCACATGCACTTGTGGCTCGGCATTCACAGACCCTTCAGTCGTCTCTCACGTCCTCCGCTGCCCATCCTCTAACGAGCCTACCAGGGTCCACGACGCCATCAAGCTTGAGGTTCATCGCATCACGTCCGAGCTTGGTTACGTCGTACAGCTGGAGGACTCCCACCTTCTTTCAGGACGTCGCCCAGACATCAGCTGCCGTGATATCAGCTCTGGGACTACGTGGGCATTAGATGTTTCAGTTGCAGACCCGCAGCATGGTCCCCCAAACTCCAAGACTGCATCAGTAATCGGCTCAGCTGCATCTGCTCGCGAAACTGAGAAGCGGACCCTGTATGCATCTTCCTTACAAAACCGCCCAGACGTGAAGCTTCTTCCTCTCGTTCTTGAAACCTTCGGTTGCTTCAGCACGGCATTTCTCAGCTTCATCAAAGACTGCAGCAGACGAGGGGCGACTCGACTTCGTGACATGGGTGGTGCATCTGACCAGCGTGAGCAGGCTCGAACCATCTGCCGTCGGACACAAATTCGTTACAGTGTTGACACACCCTCCGCCCCACCAGATCCCACCCCACCCTCCTTGGCTGACTTTGCGTACCTTGGTGTTGGTTCTTGAGACCTCATTGGGGGTCTCAACCTAGGATTGCAGTTGGGCCATTGCTAGTTAGGTAGCCTCCTGATGCTCAAATCCGTCTGTATCTTTTGTACACATATACATTGTAAATAAAGTGGCATGATTCTCGCTTAGGGTGCGAGAGGTCCCGAGTTCAATTCTAGGAACACCCCTTTTATATTTTTTGCACATTTGTCTCCCTTCGTCTCCCACTTGAGAGAGATTATACTACGGTAAAGAGTTGCAGGCGCTATTGGCTTGTCCTTCAGTTGACCACCCCTGACTGCTGCGTAGCCTTAGCTGCCATCCTGTTTGGCTCACAAGCTGCTCCACCATCGCGATTGCTGGCTCATGTCTCGTCGAACTTTCTTGTTTTTGCTGTGTCAGGCAATACAGGCTCCAATCCGTTCACGAATGCAAAATCTTCCTGGCTGCTGCACGCTCGATCCATCGATTTGTTGCTCACTAGGCCAGCCATCTATTTCTTAAGAGGGAATGCAAGAAATGAGTGTGGATTAGGGCAAGGACGGGGATACAATGAAGTGTCGAGCAACTTACTGTACCCCCTAAGGCTAAACCCACTACAGCCAGGACCCAAATTTCAAGGGTAAAATACCCTTTTTGCCCTGATGGTAGGCCGCTTTTTGGCAGTTACCCTTGTGAAATCTGTCAGAATGTTATTATTGTCTAGCCTGCAGTGGGGTACTCCATAGTGAGTACAGCCCAATTAGGGTTTGCTATATGTATCCAACTGCTTGCTAGTGAAACCCCTCCTTTCTTCATTCTTGTTACTTCTTCCTTATGACATGGTTTCAGAGCAGGTCGACCCCCTTGGGTCGATCCTGTGGGTGGGCCCCACCCGATGCTTCCGCTGCTCTACTGCTGTCGCGCGCCCCTGGCGCGTGACCCTTTCTTCCTGCCGTGCGCCCGGAGCGCGCGGCGTTTTTCATCCCACCGTGCGCTCGGGGCGCGCGGCGGTTTTCTGCCCGCCGTGCGCCCCGAGGCGCGCGGCGGTTTTCTACTCCGTGGATCCGCGCGCGCCCCCCCCCCCCCCCCCCCCCCCCGCCATCCCGTCGCCAGTCGTGGCGCCCTCTCCCGTCGCCCGTCGTGGCGTCGCGGGGGCCGCGCGTCCCCCCTATCCCGTCGCCCGTCGAGGCGCCTCGGGGGCCGCGCGTCCCCCCCCTTCCGTCGCCCGTCGTGGCGTCACGGGGGCCGCGCGTCCCCCCCCCCCCGTCGACCGCCGAGTCGCCCCTGGGGACCCGCGCGCGCCCCCTGCGATCCCGTCGCGTCGCCCTGCGGCCACCCCTCCCCGCACACCCGAGTTCGCTTACTGCACACCCGAGTTCGCTACCCGCACGCTTGTGCACGCTTCGAGCACACCTGAGCTCGCTTACCGCACACTCAGGGTATGGGGGTGACGGGTATGGTGGTAGCGGGTGTGTGAACCGTCCCCTGCTCCTCCTCCTCCGTCTCTCACTGCTGCAGCTGCCGCTGAGGGGGGTGGGTGTGTGGGAGCCGAAGGAGTGGTGCTAGGGGGGTGACGTGGGAGTGGAGCTAGGGGTACAGCAAGGGGTGTGTGAAAGGGGGGTGGGAGAGTTGGGGGAGGTTGAGCGGAGGCTGCCGTCTTGTTGTCCGCAGCACCTGTAGTCCGGGGCTCTGTCCTGGTAGCCCAGAGAGCCTGCTGCGCCTGTCGCCCGTGGGTCCGTTGCTCCTGTAGCTCCTCGTAGCCCGTGAGCCAGTTACTCTAGTAGTCCGGGGCGCTGTCCCGGTAGCCACTGTGCCAGCCGCTCCTGTTGCCCGTGTGTCTGCAGCTTCAGCCGTCGTCTCCCATCTTCTCTCCTCTCACAGTCCCTCCTCCTCCTCACTTGCCCGCTGTGACTACCACTAGCTTTGCTCATTGTGCTGATTACACCCCACTTTGGCTATGGGGGTGTGTCAGAATGTTATTATTGTCTAGCCTGCAGTGGGGTACTCCATAGTGAGTACAGCCCAATTAGGGTTTGCTATATGTATCCAACTGCTTGCTAGTGAAACCCCTCCTTTCTTCATTCTTGTTACTTCTTCCTTATGACAAAATCAGGCTATGATTTTTTTTACCCTGGTGAAATCAGGATTCGTTGTCTAAATGATGAGTCAGCGTACCCTAACATAAATTGCGCTGGAAGAACATTGTACACTTGAAAGAAGAATCCGCGTTCATTGTAAAAATCAGCTTAACACAATCAAAAAATTGCCTTGTTATGTTACAGTACCTGAACCAGCGTTCGTTCTTGGCCCGTGTCTACCGTACTTTCCTGACCGAAGCTCTGACGGTTTTAATTTGGACATGTCACAGTTGCGGGGATGTGGTGTGGAATGATCAAAATCGTTGATACCTTGTGTCAGCAGCAAGCCTGGCACAGGCCAAGAACGGTAATCATTGCTGACTTCCGGAGGTCTGCTCCCGCCCCTTCCCCTCATTTCTAGTCCAAATTCTAGCACACCTCTCGTCCATTCACATTACCGGTACCGTACCGAACCCTGGCTAACAACAAACTAAAATATCCAGGGACATTTAGCCGTCCACCTCAAATCTGAATAAAGGCCGAGATCACGTAGTATGATACCAGTACACTAGCATTTACAACATGCAAAAACATTAAACGTCGCAGCTAGCACACACTCTAGTGCCCCTCAAGTGTAGCACCCTAACCTATGCACTGGCCTTGGCGAACCTGCTCGCTGAAAGCCTTATGGAAGTGGCCTTTTTGCCCAGATGACATCACATGATTGTCCAATGAACATGAATGTTTGTTGAAACTTGGGTGCATGTTTTTCTTCATGTCACCCGAGGGGAGGAGTGGTGCTGGTCATCGTGAGAAGAACGGGGAAGAGAGGAGCAGAGTGGCAGGTGTGGAGGTGTGCACAGCACAGCAACCCACCACAAGCAGGTAATGAGTGAAGAGGAGGTAATGAGTGAAGTGGGAGGAGGCAATGAGTGAAGTGGGAGGAGGGTAGTGTAGGGAGGAGGTAATGAGTGAAGTGGGAGGAGGGTAGTGTAATGAATGAAGGCACGAATTTGAGCCTGAGAGGTGGTTGCTCGTTGGGCAGAGCAGAGCAGAGCGGGAAAACCCCGCAGAGCAAGCAATGAGGCAGAGTGCACTCGAGCGAGCAATGAGGCAGAGTGCACTCGAGCAAGCAATGAGGTAGAGTGCACTCGAGCAAGCAATGAGGCAGAGTGCACTCGAGCGAGCAATGAGGCAGAGTGCACTCGAGCAAGCAATGAGGCAGAGTGCACTCGAGCAAGCAATGAGGCAGAGTGCACTCGAGCAAGCAATGAGGCAGAGTGCACTCGAGCAAGCAATGAGGCAGAGTGCACTCGAGCAAGCAATGAGGCAGAGTGCACTCGAGCAAGCAATGAGGCAGAGTGCACTCGCACGGACCGAGGAGAGCAGAATGGCAGGTGCAGCAGGTATTGAATGAAGGCCCGCAGCACTTGAGCCTCCCCCACATCCCCCACCATCACTGAGCCTTCCTCTGTTGGCCGCACCATGGAGTAATGGTGGTTGTTGGTTGGGGAGGAGGGCAGAGCAAGCAGCTAGAGCACATGCAGCAGATAGTGAATGAAGGCGCGCACTTGAGCCTCCCCCACTTCCCCCACCACCACTGCGCCTTCGTCTGTGGGTTTCACCATGGAGTAATGATGGTCGTTGGTTGGGGAGAGCAGGTGCAAGTGGCTAGAGCACATGAAGCAGGTAGTGAATGAAGGCGCGCACTTGAGCCTGGCGATTCTTATTGCGGTGGACGTTGGTTGGGGAGCAGGTGCAAGCAGCTAGAGTGCGCTCGCATGGAGCGGTGGGAGCACATGCAGCAGGTAATGAATGAAGACCCGCACTTGAGCCTCCCCCACATCCCCCACCACCACTGCGCCTTCGTCTGTGGGTTTCACCACAGAGTAATGGTGGTCGTTGGGCACTGCGGTGTCGGCATACCGAGGGGCGTCCACCTGCCACGTGTCCAGCACTGTTGCTGCCCCTGCTGGCAATGCTGCCAGCTCAGCAGTTGGCGCTTCTGCTGCTGCTCGTGGTGATGGTGGTAGTGGCTTCTTTTCTGAGTAGGACGTACGACCACCATTAACACCATCACCACCACCACCACCACCACCGCCACCACCGTCGCCTGCAGCACCAACAGCCGCAGCAATCTCATCCGCCTCTTCTATATCCGCTACAGTATTTCCCTCGGCTGCTCTATTGCTCTCCGCTGCTCCATTGCTCTCAGCTCCTGCTCTCTCCGTGCCTTCCCCTTCCTCCTCCTCAGAGTCTCGCGGTAGCACCTGCAAGCTCGAATCTAGATACACCAACTTCTCTATCCCTCCTCCACTTCTTCTTCCTTCCCCACCAACATCCCCTTCTTTTACCCCACCTAGTTTCCCTGCCTCCACTTTATCCAACACTCTCCGTTCTCCCCGCGCTCCCCCCCCCTGCACTATCTGATTCAGCAGCACATTAATCGCCACAACCACCCGGTTAGAACTCGGCCCGGGGTACCACGCCTGACACCGGCCCCCCGCCACCGGAAAAGACGGGATAGTTCGGAAAATAACCCTGCCTTTAGCGGGCGCGGCGGCAAGTGCCCAGCAAGCAAACTCCTCGAGGTGCACTCGGAGGGCCTTGAGGGGCTGGCGGCAGAAGGAAGCTGCCCAGTAGCCTCCTTCAAAGAGCGTGACGTCAGCAGTGGGGGAGATTTCGGGGAAGGCCTCCAATCGGTTGGTGGTGACCCCGCGGTGGCTGGTAGAGGGGGGGGGGAGTGGGCCGGGAGGAGGGGGGTTTTGAGACGTCTCAAAACACTTCTTCATGCAATCGGTTGGTGGTGACCCCGCGGTGGCTGGTAGAGGGGGGGGGAGTGGGACGGGAGGAGGGGGGTTTTGAGACGTCTCAAAACACTTCTTCATGCAATCGGTTGGTGGTGACCCCGCGGTGGCTGGTAGAGGGGGGGGGGAGTGGGACGGGAGGAGGGGGGTTTTGAGACGTCTCAAAACACTTCTTCATGCAATCGGTTGGTGGTGACCCCGCGGTGGCTGGTAGAGGGGGGGGGGAGTGGGACGGGAGGAGGGGGGTTTTGAGACGTCTCAAAACACTTCTTCATGCAATCGGTTGGTGGTGACCCCGCGGTGGCTGGTAGAGGGGGGGGGGGGGGAGTCGGACAGGAGGAGGGGGAACGAAGGGGAGGAGGGAGTGGTTGCTGCCAGGTTGAATGAACAGCAGCAGCGAATAAACACCGGGTTGTCCTGTGCGCGCCAGCCACCGTGTAGGGTGTTTTTGAGATTTTTCAAAACACCCTACTTCACATTGGGGTTCAGCGGGAGTTCAGTTCAGCAACACGTTAATCGCCGTAACCTTAGAATGTTCAAACCCTTTTCAAGCCCATGCAAAGCCCTTCCGGGCCCATTCAAAGCTCATCCCAAGTCATTTCAAAGGTTATGGCGATTAATGTGTCGCTGAACCCATCCAAACCCATTCAAAGCCAGTTAAAAGCCCAATCAAGCCCATTCAAAAACTCACGTGCAGCCGAACTCCCCATTTCTGTAGATCCCATCAATCCAGTAGAAGTTAATCCGCAGCGTGCGGTTACTGCTGTCCCGCGCGTCAAACACAAGGTTGTCCTGCCACCGCCTCACATCCGGGTCAGCCTGAGCCGTGAGCAGGAAGTGCAGGTGCGCCGCTAGAAACCGCTGGTGACTGTCCCCCACGATGCTGATCTCGTGAATGCCCCTCTCGTGTAGCGCAGCTATCCACTCGGCTGGGGGAACCTCCGGGGCTGTGCAGCGGTAGAAAGCCCACCTGTGGGAGTGGGGGAGGGGGGGAGGGGGAGAGGCATGGGGAGGGGGAGGGGCATGGGGAGGGGGAGGGGCACGGGGAGGGGGAGAGGCATGGGGAGGGGGAGGGGCATGGGGAGGGGGAGGGGCATGGGGAGGGGGAGGGGGAAAGTGCTGGTGACTGTCCCCCACGATGCTGATCTCCCGAATGCCCCTCTCGTTGAGAACTGCTCAGTTGGAAAGCGGAGCCTCAGGGACCGTTTACTGGTAGAAAACCCTCCTGATACACGCACCCATCTGCACCCATCCTCACCCATCTGAACCCATCCTCACCCATCTGCACCCAGCCTCACCCATTTACACATACCTGAGTGACCCATCTGCCTTCACCACCCATCGCCCCGCACTCACAGACACACCTGAGTGACGTCCCAATGCAGAGTGTCCAGCCAATCCTGCACCCCACACACACACGTTCACCCATCTGCACCCATCTGCACCCAGCCTCACCCATTCACACATACCTGAGTGACCCATTCGCCTTCACCACCCATCGCCCCGGCACTGACGTCCCATTGCACGGAGTGTCCGACCAATCCTGCACCCCCTCCTGCTCCTCCTCCCTCTCCCCCAACCCCTCCCCCTCCCCCGCATCCGTCCCCCCACTTTCCCCGCCTGCTGCTTCTGGGTACGCGGCGGTTGTGGTGGTTCTGGCCAGCGCTTCGCCACGTGGCGTGATTGTGATTGGCCAGGAGGCGAGGCTGTGCTAGTGCGTGCGGTTGAAGTGGTGAGTGAAGGAGGCGGAGAAGTTGAGATTGGCGCACCCCACGTGCAGCGTCGCCCTGATGGGTGGGGGAAGAGGATTGGGGAACCATGGGGGATGCATGGGGGAAGCAGGGGGCGAAGCATGGGGGAAGCAAAGGGGGAAAGCATGAGGGCGAAAAAAAATAAAAAGGCGCAAGCGAGGGAGGAAGGCGTTGGGTGCAAAACGGATGTTGGGAATCTACACGAGGGGCTAAGGGGTTGTGAGGGATTTGAGGCGGCGCAGGGGAAACAACAGCTGGGAAGATTGCTGAGGAGTGGATTAACTACTTCACTTCGTGGCGCTTCGAGATTAGGCTCACCAGTAATTGCCGAGGTCCCACACGCGGTACGACACTCTAAATTCCGTGCAGTGCGGAGGGTCTAGACACCTAATGTCCCCGTGGGCTAGCGCTTCCACCAGCTCTCCTTGACCACTGGCAGCACGTGCGCCCAGCGCGCGGGAGCACGCACAGACACGCGGAAGGAGCAGCGCTGCCCGCGCAGACACGTGGCGCAACCTGAGCCGTGGATCACCACTCCCGCGGGGGACGGGGATGCATAGTCTGCAGCGAAATATGGATATGAGAGGCAAAGGAAGGGGGAAAGGGGACGGTGATGCATAGTCTGCGGAATCACATGGGTACGAGAGGGAGTGAGAAGCAAGGGAAGGGGACAGACGCGTCGCATGAGACCATATTATTAGGCGCCGCGAAGACCCCGAGAGGGGATTAAAGAGGTTTGCATGAGATCCTCCTTCTAGGAGCCTCAAAAGTCCCCAGAGGAGGTGATACATACATAGTCTTAGGAGTCATATGAATAAATATGAGACGGGAAGGGGCAGGCGGGCACGCATGAGAGCGCTGATGGAGGGGGAGAAGAAGGCGGGGATCGCGTACGACGACCAGCAACCTCGTCGTTGTTGACCTTGTTGACCTTGTTGACCTTACCATCTTTTTTGCCGCCTCCAGATTTTGAGCTCTACCTAGTTTTGAGGCGCCTACAAGATACGCACGAGCTCTACCTAAGCGCCTGTTTTCTTTTTATCTTACCTCCCGACGACGTCCAGCATACTCGTCGTCGTATCAGCGGCGCTACGCTGCCATCGGAGACGCCAGCGGCGGAAGCGACGCCAGCGGCGGTAGCGACAATAGTGGCGGGTGCACTGCTTTGGAGCACGGCATCACTGCGGGGAGGTTGGGGGGGGAAGTGTGGGGGAAATTCGGGACAAGAGAAGCGGACACCTTGTCCAGGCAGAATGAACAAGCAGAAATTAGGAACAACAAGGTACGCCCAAACCGCTCCGGAATTAGGAGTCTGAGTTCGGCTTGACAAGGCACCTAGAAACGCGGACTCAAGAGTACGAGACGGACAATCAAAAGGTCAGAAATGGGAAACCTGAAGGCTGGGTTTCAAACTCGTAGAACCACGTTATAAGCCGCTCCGACGACTCACTTGAATGGGCTCGCCCCTGTTCCATCGGAAACGTAGGGGACACTCAGCGACTTTCGTAGCTGCACGGGAAAACGTGGGCCCCATTCGCCGCGTAGCCTGCCTTCTGCTGCGCCCAATCCCGCCACGCTGATGCTTTCCGCTCCCGCATCGGTTGTGGTGACCCACGGTGGTAACGATTCGGTAATAACGAGTACGAGGAGGCAGAGGTTGACGAAAACGAGCACGTAGTGAAACCAGTCCATGGAATACCCCGATCGAGGCTTTCTCTCCTCGTTTGTAGAACCTCCCGTTTTGATCCCGAAAGCCGTCAACATATGCGAAAATACACGAGAAACGCGCGACAGGGGCGACGCTAACGAGTTTGGCACCGGGAGTGCATGCGACGCTCGCGAACTGAGCTGAAGTGCGTGCGACACAGAGTCCGCAATTGAAGCGCCGGCGCGTGCATTAAAACCGCCGATCGAATGATATACCTGCCCGTTCGACTTACCCATGACGCCTTCCGGACACCTCAAGAACGAAAGGAACACTATCGTTGGGACTGAAAACAACCTCAATTCACTTGTAACAGAACAAGTCTCTTGCTTCGCGAAGTTCAGAAACAGCGAATCTCTTGACTCGTAGTGGTGACTCACGCACTCGCCGGGTTAAACGGAGAAACTGGAGCTCGTTGTAATTTCTTGATAGTAAATGGGCAAAGCTCGAATCCGAACGACGACCAATGGAGCTATAGCTGAGACAGCTATTCGTAATTATAATAACGAAAAATGGATAGCCCATCAGCCGAGACCGTCCGACTGTGCCACGAATCTTGAGACCGTCCGACTGTGCCACGAGTGCTGCCTTGAAACACCAATGCCCGCTCCCTTTCATGGTTTCTGATCAGGGTACAATCGCTTCTGGAGCAAGCTCTCTTGATTTGGTAGGGTATGAGGAGAACCAAGACCAACGCGCCGCTCGATTATCGCAGCTCTATTCAACTGTAGACAGCGGCGAATCCTCACCGTCAAACTGGCTAGCTCTGTCACGAGAAATTCCGATCAAGGGCGACGATGAATTGACGACTTGGTTGAAATCTCAAAGAACCAAGTTGATGGAATGCGGACGGATCGGCTTGAAAATCAGTGCGGGTAGATCCACAACCGTGATTTTTGCCACTGGCAGTAGCCGTCTTTGCTGCGATGCACGCTTGACGCCCGAAATGCATTCCTAGAACACATTGTTGACGTGCCCACCAACGACGCTCTGCTATTTTGTTTACTTACTCCTGCCGGCTACGGGAACGCGCCGCTATTTTGTTTAGCCTACTCAACGTGCTACTGCCCAAATTGAGGCCGTGATTCGTGATTCGCGGGCGGGAGTTTTAGGTTTGGAAGACCCCCGCAGGAGGTTAGGCAAGGATTCGGAAACCCTTCAGCTGGAGGAGGCAAACCGTAACCAGCTTGCTTCGCGACTTCGCAATTCATGTCTCGCCCTAGGAGATTTACCGAAAGCAATTCCGCTCAAAAATTGAATAAAGATCAAAAATAACATCTTACACTTACAATTACAACATTTTAAAACTACAGCTACCAAAGAAAGAAGGGATAGCACCCTAACCTATGCAGTGGCCTCGGCCACTCGCTAAAAGCCTTACGAAAGTGGTCGATATAGCCAAGATGACATCACATGAATGTCCAATGAGCATACATTTTGTCCGTGTCAACCAAGGAGTAGTGCCGATCATGGTGAGGAGAAGAGCGAGGGAGGGGAGAGCAGAGTCGCAGACGTGCACACCGCACCACACCACACAGCACCGCACAGCACAGCCATTTACCAGAATATGGGTTGGAGAGAAACCAACTGGATGTGCTGAGCAAGCAAGCAGCTATAGAGCGCTATCGTGGAGTGGAGGGAGCAGGTGCAACAGGTAATGAATGAAGGCGCGTGCTTGAGTCCCCCCCACTTCCCCCACCATCACTGTTCCTTCTTCTGCTGGCCTTCTTCTGCTGGCCACACCATGGAGTAGTGATGGTCGTTGGTTGGGGAGGGAGGGCAGAGCAAGCAGCTAGAGCACATGCAGCAGGTAGTGAATGAAGGCGCGCACTTGAGCCTCCCCCACATCCCCCACCACCACTGCGCCTTTTGCTGTTGGCAGCACCATGGAGTAATGGTGGTCGTTGGGGACTGCTGTGTCGGCATACCGAGGGGCGTCCACCTGCCACGTGTCCAGCACTGTTGCCGCCCCCGCGGGTAACGCTGCCAGCTCAGCGCTTCGTGCCTCTGCTGGTGTTGATGATGGTGATGATGGTGGTGGCCGCTTTCCCGAGTAGGACGTACGACCACCACTAACACCATCACCAGCAGCACCACTATCACCACCACCATCGCCAGCAGCATCAACAGCTGCAGCAATCTCATCCGCTTCTTCTATATCCACCGCTCCATTACTATCAGCCGAAGCATTTCTGTCAACTGCCCCATTACTCTCAGCTCCTGCTCTCTCCGTGCCCTCCCCCTCCTCCTCCGAGTCCTGCGGTAGCACCTGCAAGCTCGAATCTAGATACACCAGCTTCTCTATCCCTCCTCCACTTCTTCTTCCTTCCCCACCAACATCCCCTTCTTTTACCCCACCTAGTTTCCCTGCCTCCACTTTATCCAACACTCTCCGTTCTCCCCGCGCTCCCCCCCCCTGCACTATCTGCTTCAGCAGCACATTAATCGCCATAACCACCCGGTTAGAACTCGGCCCGGGGTACCACGCCTGACACCGGCCCCCCGCCACCGGAAAAGACGGGATAGTTCGGAAAATAACCCTGCCTTTAGCGGGCGCGGCGGCAAGTGCCCACCTCGCAAACTCCTCGAGGTGCACTCGGAGGGCCTTGAGGGGCTGGCGGCAGAAGGAAGCTGCCCAGTAGCCTCCTTCAAAGAGCGTGACGTCAGCAGTGGGGGAGATTTCGGGGAAGGCCTCCGATCGGTTGGTGGTGACCCCGCGGTGGCTGGTAGAGGGGGGGGGGGGGGGGGGTGAGTCGGACAGGAGGAGGGGGAACGAAGGGGAGAGGGAGTGGTTGCTGCCAGGTTGAATGAACAGCAGCAGCGAATAAACACCAGGTTGTCCTGTGCGCGCCAGCCACCGTGTAGGGTGTTTTTGAGAATTCTCAAAAACACCCTACTTCAAATTGGGGTTCAGCGGGAGTTCAGTTCAGCAACACGTTAATCGCCATAATCTTAGAATGTTCAAACCCTTTTAAAGCCCATGCAAAGCCCATCCGGGCCCATTCAAAGCTCATTCCAAACCCATCCAAAGCCATTTCAAAGCCTATTCAAGGGTTATGGTGATTAATGTGTCGCTGAACCCATCCAAACCCATCCAAACCCATTCAAAGCCAGTTCAAAGCCCAATCAAGCCCACTCAAACACTCACGTGCAGCCGAACTCGCCGTTTTTGTAAATCCCGTCGATCCAGTAGAAATTGATTCTCAGCGTGCGGTTGCTGCTGTCACGTGCGTCAAACACCAGATTATCCTGCCACCGCTTCACATCCTTGTCCGCTTGAGCCGTGAGCAGGAAGTGCAGGTGCGCAGCTAAGAACCGCTGGTGGCTGTCCCCCACGATGCTGATCTCATGAATGCCCCTCTCGTGCAGCGCGGCTATCCACTCGGATGGGGGAACCTCCTGGGCCGTGCAGCGGTAGAACGTCCATCTGTGGGCGATAGGAGGAAGGGGGGGAAGAGGGGAGCAGGGGAAGGGCGGGCAGGAAACGGGGGTGAGACATGAGAAAGGTGCCTCCACCGCTGCACACTCCTCCTGTCAGCCTGTGCCGTGAGCAGGAACTGCAGATGCGCTGCCAGAAACACATCTTCACCCATTTGCATCCATCCTCACCCATCTCTACCCATCCTCACCCATTTACACATACCTGAGTGAGCCGTTTGCTTTCACCACCCATCGCCCCGGCACTGACGTCCCATTGCACGGAGTATCCGGCCAATCACGCACTCCACACACACACGCTTAACCCGTTTGCACCCATCTTCACCCATTTGCACCCATTCTCACCCATTTACATACCTGAGTGACCCATTCGCCTTCACCACCCATCGCCCTGGCACTGACGTCCCATTGCATGGCGTATCCGGCCAATCCTGCACCCCCTCCTCCTGCTCCTCCTCTCTCTCCCGCAACCCCTCCTCCCCGGCCCCCGCCCCCGCCCCCCCTTTTTCCCCGCCTGCTGCTTCTGAATAAGCGGCGTCTGTGGTGGTGGCACGTCTGCTACTGTCCCATGTGCTGCTGGTAATGCCAAGGGTGGTGGTTTTGGCCAGCGCCTCGCCACGTGGCGTGATTGTGATTGGCCAGGAGGCGAGGCTGTGCTGGTGCGTGCGGTTGAAGTGGTGAGCGAAGGAGGCGGAAAAGTTGAGATTGGCGCACCCCACGTGCAGCGTCGCCCTGATGGGTGGGGGGGAGAAAGTGTGGGGGGGGAGTGTGGGGATGGGACCGGCGTGGGAAAGGGAAGAGAGAGGTTGAGATTGGCGCACCCCACGTGCAGCGTCGCCCTGTGGGGGGGGAGGATTGGGGAAGCATGGGGGAAGCAGGGAGCGAAGCATGGGAGAAGCAAGGGGGGAAAGCATGGGGGAGACAAGGGGAGAGATGCGCAAGCGAGGGAGGAAGGCGTTGGGTGCAAAACGGATGTTGGGAATCTACACGAGAGGCAAAGGGGTTGTGAGGGATCGGAGGCGTTGCAGAAAAAACAACGGCTGAGCAGATCAATAAGGGGTAGATTAACTACCTCACTTTGAGGCGCTTCGAGATTAGGCTCACCAGTAATTGCCGAGGTCCCACACGCGGTACGACACTCTAAACTCCGTGCAGTGCGGAGGGTCTAGACACCTAATGTCCGCGTGCGCTAGCGCGACGCCTCTTAAAGTGAGAGCCAGGTCGCGCTTCCACCAGCTCTCCTTGTCCGCCGGCAGCACGTGCGCCCAGCGCGCGGGCGCGCGCACGGACACGCGGAAGGAGCAGCGCTGCCCGCGCAGACACGTGGCGCAACCTGAGCCGTGGATCACCACTCCCGAGGGGGTCGGGGATGCATAATCTGCAGAGTCATATGGATACGAGAAGCAAGAGGGAGTAAGAGATTAGCATGAGAGCCTATTTCTAGGAGCCAACAAAAATCGCCAGAGGTGATACATTTTCTGCGGAGTTCTATAAATATGAGATGGGAAGAGGCAGGCGGAAACGTATGAGAGCGCTGATGGAGCGCTGATCTCGTACGACGACCAGCAAACTCCTCGTTGTTAACCTTACCATATTTTTTTCCGCCTCCGAATTGTAAGCTCTACCGACCTTTGAGGCGCCTATAAGATACGCCCGAGCTTTACTGAATCAATTTGATCTTACCTCCTGACGACGTCCAGCATACTCGTCGTCGTCTCAGCGGCGCTACGCTACCATCGGAGATGCCAGAAGCAAAAGCAACGCCAGTGGCGGGTGCACTGCTTTGGAGCACGGCATCATTGTGGGGAGGTTGGGAGGAGGTTGGTGGAAGTGAGGGGAGGTTGGGGAAGAAGTGCGGGGAGGTTGCGCACGTGGGAGGGAAAATTTGGGCAGGGGACGGGGGCACCAGGCGGGATGAGAGAACAAGAAGAAAGGGTACGTAACAGACCTCAGGGATATAGACTGCGATTGACTTGACAAGGCACCTTAAACGGCGGAATAATTAGTATCAGACGGACGATCCGAACAAGGAGAATATTTGAAAGAAAAGAAATCTGAAGCTTCGGTCAGGTGTTGCACTCGTGGCTGCCAGCCATGTTATACGCCGCTTCGACTTACTCGAATGGGCTCGCGGCGTTATCCCCTGTTGCATCTGATTTGTAGGCGACAAGCAGCGACTTTCGCAGCTGCATGGGAAAAAGAGGGCTCCATTCGCCGCGTAGCCTTCCGCTCGCTCCCCCTGCTGCCGCCAATTCCGCTCCCGCATCGGAATCGGTGACCCATGGCGGTAGCGATTCGGCTATAACGAGTACGAGGAGGCATATGTTGACGGAAACGAGCACGTAGTGAAACCAGTCCATAGAATAGACCAATCGATGGCTCCTCTCCTCGTTTGTAGAACCTCCCGTTTTAATCCCGAGAGCCGTCAACATGTGCGAAAATACATGAGAGACGCGCGACAGGGGTGACGATGAGGACGTTGGCGACGGTACGGGGAGTGCATGCGACGTTCGCGAACTGAGCTGAGATGCGTGCGACTCAGAGTCCGCAATCGAAGTGCGTGTTTCTAGACCGATCGAGTGATATCCGTGCCCGTTCAACCTACCCATGTCGCCTACCAGGCACACCTGTTATAAACAGGGAACAAACAGCGCTTCGAAAATAAAGAAACACAGCTGTTCGGCGTGATAATCTTCTGAAGACACTTGGCTAAAGCTTGATATGAAGCTAATCGAACAAACTTCTCCCCTTTTCGAAGTTCAGGAACAGTTAGTTCCTTGATCCTTCGAAATTACTCGTGCACTTTGACAGAACGGAAAACTGGCAAGGAAATTGATAGTAGGAGTAATAGAGCTCGAATCCGAGCCACAACCAACGGAGCTGATAACGAAACTCTCTAGGCGGTTGGTGAACACCAACGCCCTCAGACTCTCATCTCATGGTCAGAAAAACTTTCTCTAAGGTTGAATCTCAGGGGCAAGCTCTCTTGATTTCTGGGGAATAGGGAGGAACGCGACGAGATGAACGTCTGTCCTCGATTACAGCATTGCAGCTCTGCGAGAAGCAACAACGACGCACCGCTGATCGAAGCGCTAGTAAAATGCCGACAGCGCCAATCCACACCGTAAAAAGTGACGAGCTTTGTCGGGGACTTTACCAATCAAGGGCGAAGATGACTTGACGATCGGGTTGGAATCTCGAGGAACAAAGTTCAAGGAATGCAGTGGAGTCTTGATTCGTCGGCTCGAAAAACAGTGCGGGCAGAATGAGTGAAGTGCAGTGAACATTTTGTCGGAACAACCGTTTATTTTGCCGTACACTTGGCACCAGGAGCCGTCCCCTGCTTGGTGCGATGACGGCTCGGCGCCGGAAATGCGTTTCTCGGGCACACTGTTGACGTGCCCAGGGGCTGGCCTGGCTGAGCCTTTTTGCCATGCATAGCCCATCAGCTTGGTGGGGTTGCTTCCCACCAACCACGCGTAATACCAAAGGGGGTTTCCCCTAAAACCTTTACCCCCCACCAACCACGCGTCGCTATTGGTTACTTTGGCCCCTGCTGGTCCGGTAAACCAAGCCTACTCACCAGCTTCGTTTTGGCAAGAGGCTCTCTGAATGGACGCTGGACACGGCAACGTGCTACCGGCACAAACGGAGGACGTGATTCGTGGGATCGACGCGCCATCCACCAAGTCTGAGATGGCGCCTTCCACGGCGGATTTGCGAAGCGAGTGGCCATTGACGAAGCGTCATATTTTGCGGGACGGAGGAAGTGTTACACGTTTCAACTCTAGGTATTGTCAAAGTTGATTGGGTGTAGACTCGCCAAACCAGCATGCAATCTGTTTCTTTCTAGCCATTAAAACCATGTCTGGTCTTGTTGTAGGTATAACAGATTGGTCCATCCATACTAACCACATTGCACCATGTTCTATAACCAGTTTGTAGTAGCACGAAGCAAGGTGCAGTTATTAATACTTCCGACCCGTACAAAACAACACCTCAACATATTGTAACAAATCCAATCACGCATGATACAACTCTTGTGCACAAACTATGTCCCTTTGACAATAAGTGAAAGATAGACATAATGAAATGATAAGATTTCTTGCCATATTATTGTGCAGGCCTTGTCTGGCCTGTGCACAAAGGGACTCTGCACAGCTTTCCAGGCTGAACAAGGAGCATCCTTTTTGCCACTTTCAAGGGTGACAGGCCCAAAACACACCAGCGCTGTGACCGCTGATGCCACTCCCTCTGAGCCCTCTCCTCCTGCAACCACTCCCAGTCACCATCCCACTCATCCTCACCATTCCACGCCTCCTCCACCTCCCTCTTCTCACCTTCTGGTTCCAACCCCACTTCCCCTTGCACCAATGGCCCATCTCCACCTGTCCTCTGCTGCGTCTCTTGTGTCCCCTGCGAAATCTCTACCTTGTCCTGATCTTCTAGCCCAGAGACTCCTCCTTTACTCAAAGTAGCGCATTCCAGCCCGTTACCAGCTTTTGTTGCCATCACTCTTCGTAACACTGGTCTAGCTCTTATCTGCAGTCCACCTAAGGACGAAAGTGAGCCGGGCAGATCCTGCAGGCTGTCGCATCCCTCCAGGTCTAGCAGCCTAAGATTCATCAGCTGCCCGAGATTCTCGGGCAGCCGTACCAAACGAAAGCAATCAGTCAAGAGGATCTGCTCCAGGCTGCTGAGCCGGCAGAGGAACTCCGGCAGTGCGGTAAGGGCGGCAGAACCAGACAAATTCAACCGCTTCAGTGACGTCAGCTGTGTGATGCTTACGGGAAGGGATGAGAGATGACGACAGCTTGTGACCGCCAGGCATTCCAGTGACTTCAGCGCGAACAGGGCGAGTGGCAGAGCACGAAGAAGCGGCCAATGGGACAGTTCCAGGTACTTTAGAGAAGAAAGCTGCCCCATGGATTCGGGCAGGTGGGTTAGACAGGAAATAGAGGAGACCTTGAGGGTGTGGAGGCTCGGCAGCTGCCCGAAATCGGCAGGGATTGAAGCGAAACTCTTGCAGAAGCAAATCTCAAGAGACTGGAGGCTGATGAGGTGGACAAACGAGGGCGGGAGGCCAATCAGCGACTCGCACGTGTTAATCTCGAGTGACTCTAGCCGGCTAAGGAATCCTATATCATCAGGGAGGCTGACTAAACGCGGGCAGTCTCTAATACTTAGCAGTTGGAGCCGTGTTAGCTGATAGACCGAGGAGGGTAACTCAGTTAGCCTCTTGCATCCATGGAGACGCAGCGCTTCGAGATTTGGCAACTGCCCGAGAGATTCCGGCACCGTCTCTAGACTAAAGACGCTGTGCAGCTGCAGAGACTGTAAGGAAGAGATCTGCCCGAGATTCGCGGGCAGCCGGCTGATTCGCATGCAGTATGTGACGGAGAGGAAGGAAAGCGCGGACAGAATGCACAACGAATCCGGCAGCTGCGCAAGCCCGCAGTCAGTCACGTGCAGCCGCGTCAGCCGTGATAATTTCCCGAGAGTCTCGGGCAGCGATCGCAACGCGCTGCAGCCAATCTGAAGATCGCGCAGGTTCGCAAGCTCGCCGAGGCTATTTGGCAGTGCGGTCAGGCTCGGAGCCTGCAGCTTCGGAAACTGGAGGCTCGGCGGCGCGTTAGCGTCGTTCGGAATGCTCCATTTGTAAACCGAATCGATATCCAACGGTCCCCCGCTGATCCGCGCGAGCTCGAGAAACGACGCTGGTCGAAGGGAGAGGTTCGGCGCGCAGTGCAGACCGAACTCTTCTAACTGCGGGCAGGCCCGAAAAAGTATATCCAAACCCGCTTCGGTGATTTCAGAGTAGAGAGCTGCTTCGGCCGTCGATTCAGCGGCGATTGCGTTTCCCGCTTCTCCCGCTGCTTCCTCCGCTTCTAGTAGCAGTTCGTGCAGACCTTCTTGTCCTTCTTGCGCGACACGCTCACGCGGTGCCTGGTGGGTGTCGTCCGCATGGCGGCGGTTTCGGAGACCGCCGTTGGAGCCGCCGCCTTGCATTGAAGAAGGACGCACCGTTCCGAAGCGGAAGGAAGTGAGCGTCGCTCCGCTTGACGCGGCGATTCGGTCGAGGAGATCGTCGCCCACTCTGTCGACGCTACAGTTGGGGAGATGGATGCGCGAAAGGTTGCGAAACTGCGCGATGGCGTTCGCGAGCTGTCGGGAGGACGCTTCGCGGGTTTCGCGAACGCAGAGGGCGGTTTGAGCGGGACGCGCGATCTCGAGCCATCGCTTACAGGTAACCGCATGGGAGAAGGTGTCGCCGTGCGATCCTACGCGAGCGAAGATCATGCGAAGAATGTCGTCCGGGAGACGCGGTAATGGTGGAAGAGGATCATCAGTCGACATGGTGACGTCGATGGAACGACTATCTTCCAGAGAAAACTATATTTTTTTTTTTAGGACGACTGGGAGAGACTGTCTTGAGGCTACGATATTGAGCGACAACGCAAAAGTACGGGGCGAGCAGAGCGTACAAATGGAAATGGCTGAAGGCAAGGACGAAGAACTGTCGAAGAGTTTTCATTCACTTCGCTGCTCTCCGTGCTTCACGCATCTCACGTTGTGCTGCTCTGCTCGTGTTACTGGAGGGAGTAGTGAAGGGGCAAGGTGAGGTGAGGTGAGAAAATGGGGCGATTTGTTGGGTGCACGGAGGGAGGGATGTTCGTGTTTGCTTGCTTGGGTTGGGAACGGGATGGCACGGGAATCGGGATACGCGCCGCGTGCGATGTTCTGCAATGTACTGTATCTGTACAAATTACGGACTACTGCTGTGTCTTGTAGCTGATGGTTACAACAAGTGTAAACCGTTAGATTAGTTTTATTGACAGTTGAGATCACACGGCACTCCCTTGCCTTTTGATTTCCAGTCAGCCATAAGCAGCTTGGCAGCTGCCGTACACCCACTGCCACGTCTAGCAAACTGCCAAACCGCGGTTGTCCTTGTTTGAGCGATCCGATGCGACTCAATGCGATCAGTCCCATGGCAGCATCTTTGCTGCAATCTTGATTAGGACTGGCTCGCCATGTCGCAAGCTGGAGAACAACGTCGCCGAGTCGCCAGGGGCAACACGCGACGGCTTGCCTGGCGATGATTTTTTGTAGACGCCGCTATAACGAGGGGCCGCTACAGAGACACTCGCGACTCGTAGTGACCAAGGAAATATGGCTGGCAAGGCCTTGGCAGTTCTGCAATGTGCATGCCACCTGTCCCACATAACGAGTTGCACTTGCACTTCTAAACGGGGCTTGCAATCAACCACTGCAGCTTGCTGCAGTCACACTACTGATAGACGAGCATTGTAGCAAGAAGTGCCAAAAAACTTATTGACCGGAACTCGAACTCATAAACGAAGCATTGTTTTGGCTGCAACACTTGTAGCTACATTGTCAAGTTAATGAAGCGTCGGAGAAATTACCCAAA